TTTTTTTTTTAATATAGAGTACTACTCAGCCATGAAAAATGAGAAATTAGAGACATTTATTGCTAAATGGATGCACATTAAGGTGATACTCTTAAGTGAAATAAATAGGACACACTTGTGTAAATACCAAATAGTTTCTCTAGTGGGTGAAACAAAGTTTAAATAGCAACTAAAAGGTACAATAGATAATGTGAAATAGGAAGAAAAGGGGCAAAGGGGAAGGGGAAGTGGGAGGAGTAGGGGAAATGAAAGAAGGGAATGGAATTAATGTGAGAAAATGAAAAAATGGAAAAAAAAAGTCTTTGTAAATATGTAGGGATGAAAGGATTGAAGGGAGGGCAGGGGAAGGGGGAAAATAAGAACAAAGAGAGATTATGTAAAGTTACAAATTTCCAATGATAAATGTCATTATACTGTATACCTAAAATGTACCAATAAAATAAAATTTTAAAAGAAAAAAAACAAAAAGAAAAATGAAGATATTGAATCCTGTAAGTAATCACCCTACATCCTTTTAAGTATTTTCTTTAGCTATAGTAAAGACACTAAGGAAACTGTTGTTAGGACAGTACTCATTTAAGTTATTCTACTTATTTAGTGCCATAAAACATAAGGACAGAACACAAGGAATATGTATGATTTATGCACTTGCAAACTAACTAATGATCAGCAGGTAAAATAATCTCTTTGGATTATGATCAATTTCTTTTTTTATGATCAATTTCTTACATCTTATTTCATATTTTACTAGCCATTTTTCAATATTTATTAATATTAGTATATAACCATAACTTTTTTTCTGTAATCAACAAATTAAATTTAATTTTGTAGAATAGAGGTGAGAATATTATACTTTTTAATTTCATCTAATATCCTGCATATTAGTGCACTTGGAATTCCAGATTTGTGTATTAATTTATAGAATGTAAATAAATTTCCACATGAGGTAATTATATTTCTAACACATTTGAGATTCATATTGAGAACTTTGTGTTTAAATGATGTTTTTTCTATTTTTGTCATCCAGACTATGACTGCATCATGTTTTCTGATTGTTTTAGATTGTATTCAGTTGGAGGTCGTGATGGAAGTTCGTGTTTGAGTTCAATGGAGTACTATGATCCTCATACAAATAAGTGGAACATGTGTGCTCCAATGTGTAAGAGGAGAGGAGGCGTTGGTGTGGCCACTTGTGATGGTTTCCTTTATGCAGTAGGTGGTCATGATGCTCCTGCTTCAAATCACTGTTCCAGGCTTCTGGATTATGTAGAAAGGTAAGGCTCAAGGTCACTGTTACAGTGCAGGAGATAGTGTCCATGGCATTGATTCCCAATTCAAGTGATTGTAAACATTATATGATTTAAGAAAAGTGCATGCAGCTCCTAGAACTACTTTTTTGATGTCTCTCTATGTCTGTCTTTCTCTCTCACATACATGCATCCTACACACATGCACCCACACACATTTTCATTTTCAGGATTTCTTTTTTTGCTTCCTTCCCTCTCTACTTCCCTCCTTTCTTCCCTTCCTTCTTCCTTCCTTCTTTTTTGCAAGTCTGTTAAGTAAATTTAAATTTTATCCTTGATGTATTTGTAAACAACTGATTAAAACAAAGTTTAAAGTAATTCACTGAACATGAGTGTTTGTTCATTCAGTTTAAAATATTGCATATTTTATTGTTCTGTTTATACTGTGTTGTTTGTTTTACTAATTGTTCTGACTCTCAAAGGCGAATTATTGATTCCTTTGTTTTATGGAATATTGTTAAATGTAAAAACCCATTTGAATTTATAGTAGACTTATGAAGTGTATACTTTCATACTTCTTGTATATGGAGGAAACATATTTCTTAGATCTTCCTAAAAACGACCAGGTACATGGAGGCTGGAGAAAGAAAGTACCTTGGTTTCAGGCTTATTCCAAAAAGGCAGACGCTTACTAGCTATGTTACAGCTTTTTAAAGCCTATGTATCACTTAGGACTGTTACACTGTGGAGTAAAAATTTGAGAGTCTTTAGTAAGAATTTTGGTGATACATATGGACACACGCTGATCTATGAAGAAATGAGAATAGCAAATATTAAACTCAATTGGAATAGCATAAGTACTTATACTGTAACAGATACCTTAAAAACCCTCAGAAGCTTAATATCACTGTGCTTTTTTCTTTATTCATTCTACATGTCCATGATGCTAACCTTCTGGTAATCCATATATGCTACAATATTGAGCACTGATGGCTTCTATATCAAAGTGAAAAATACTAGAAAGTAGAAAAATTTTCACCGGTTCTTAAAGATTCCACTGGCAAGTAATAAAATTCTCTTTTGTTCATGCTTCAAAAATAAACCAACCATGTAGTCTGTGACATTTAGGCGTAGTGTCAACTTTATTGGCTTTGGAGCTGTCTCATTGGATTGTTGGAGCACACTGGGTAGGTCATGATGGCATGAGTATTATAGATGGTCCCTGGGCCCTTCCTCACTGCTGTGCTGCACCTCTGCTTTCCAGCCGCCATCAACTAGGGATCAGTGTTTTGCCATGGCCTTCCAACATGATGTTTCTGCCTTGGAGCAACTCAGTCATGGCCTGAATCTCCTAAAAATATACCTAATTCAGCCTCTTCTTCTTTAAATTGTGGGTGTTGGATATTGTGTCACAGTGATAGGAAAGCTGACTGATACATGGCCACAGAAAACTTCATAAGGGTAACATGACTGTTTCCCAAAGTGCAAGTGGGAAAGGCACAAAATGTTGTTGGTGAGTACCAATGATCCGTGATAATTTTAAGAAATCACATCCTTTATACTAACTAATGCTCATATTATTGTTAGTAAAAGAAATGCTTTAGCAAAAGATACCTTTTGATAAACATGTTATATTCAAATTTAAACCATTGTCCAGGTAATATAGAGAAAAAATATTTACCAATATTCCTACTCTGTGAAACAGACTGTAGGTTTATGGTTATATATACTTAGAGTGGGAAATTATCTCCCTGTAAATATCTCCTTATCTCTTCACTTACAAAATTTCTAATCTACACTTTTATGGTGAGAACAGTGATCAGAGTCCAAATAAATATATTTATGCTATTATATGCACAGATATGCAATCATTCACTTTAGAAAATAAAAATAATCTGACATTTAAGTCACTCATTTTTTTCTGATAAATTCTTGGGAAACACAAAGTGAAGTTAAATATAATAAGGTTCCTATTTTTACCTTGAATATCTTACATAAATGCTACTAATGAAATGATATTTCATCCACGTTTTCTCCTCTATCTCTACTGTATAATGTATGGAAATGTTGTTTATGAGCAGAGGCATAAATAATTCCATCCAGGAATACATTTCTGATGCAAAATTAGATTTAAATAAGCATAGCTATTTTAAGTTACAGGAGTGCAGTGGGTATGCACAGCTTGAGTAATGCAGAAGCACACAGCAATACCGTGACTCTTTTCCTAATGCATACTACCTGTCAGATTAATAACCTTCTTACACTTTCAATTACATATTTTATATTGATCTTTTCACATGCAAAAGGTCAATAAATAAACATATATAATGGTGCTACTCCAGAACTGTTTTGCATATAAAATGTGAGTCATTTTTAGCAAATAACATAGGCAAACAGGTCATTAAAATAAGCAAGAATTGGGGCAGGGATTTAGCTCAGCGGTTTCGCCGCCTGCTGCGAAAGCGCAAGGACCAAAGTTCGATCCCTGGTACCAAAAAAAAAATATATATATATATATACATATAGTATGTCAATTTTATCAGATCACAATGATGTCCTATGGAAATGCAAATGAATTATATAATGGTGATGCTAAGCACCGTTATATAATGGTCATCAAAAATTGTACAGTCAGGTATCTTGGGCTCAAACCAGATGAGAACTTCAAATCACAGCAGGTAAGAAGGCAAAGGCTTAGTCAGAATAAGAAGTGCTTAATAGTGTGTGAAACATAAAAATTGATAGTGTAACTGAGCTTCACTCTAATGAGAGCATCTTGGCTGACAACATCTATACCCAAAATTTGCAATAAGTTCTAAGAGAATTTACAACCATAAAGTACTGTCTATTAGACAAATAATATTTATGGATCTTTTGATTTATAATATAAATCTTATTTTGCATGTATTTTGTACTGCACTATACTGAACATACAACATATTAGAAAAAAGGACCCGAGAAATAAATAATTAGAACTTTAATATTTCAAACAAATCTGGAATCTAGGAAATGGATAGAAAATGTGTTCAAAGGCAGCAGTGATCATAGTGACTAATAATAGATCAGGACAGCATTTGCTCTCATATCTGCATCCCAGTAATGAGGTGTGGTGAGAGATACAAATGTTAGGATAATAGGAAGTCTCTAAATTTGACTTTGGAATATCCAGTTCTATTTCTTACAGTCTATTATCTTTAGAGTTGCTAGAGGAATCTTTTTATAATTCAGACTTGACTTGAAGAAAAAATGATGGTTTTGCTTTGTGCCAACTGTCAATATTTTAATTAAAATGGTGTTTCTCTACTAATCTTAGTTCCATATGCTAATAATGCATTGCATTCTGATCTCAATATTCATGCAATTGGGCACAATTCCTGGTGTGGCCTAAGCATGCAACCACCATTTAGCAAATCCATCAAACAGTAAGAAAAGCAGATCTAAGATTTTTCCAAGAAAAAGTATTTTGTGATCAACTGTAAATCAAGTTGTTAAGTAGATAATGGGTTGGTAGAGGATAAATAGAAAGATGACAGAACAAGTGATGGATAATGAAAGAATGGATGGTTAGATCATATTTGGAAGAACAAATATTTAGATTCTATTTGGGCTTATTTTCTAAATTTGTATGAGAATGCCCATTTTTTATCATCTTTAGCTGAGTATCAAATACTCTCATGTATCCTATGAATTTATTTAATAGATAGGAAATTACTATAAATATGAATGTATAAGATAAGAATAGAAACTTTGGATTCTTTCATTTCTTTTAATTTCTCATTTCATGTTTTTAGTTTAGGCACAGTCCAAAACTATGTCATTTCTAGAATGTGAGGAAGATGACAAAGAACAGACAAACCATTTAATCAAATTATTGATGATTATCTTACCTTGATGCTAATAAGTAGCATATTAATATATTAACTCAAATCTTTTTATGGATGAAATTCTACATTTTCTACCGAACAATAATTTTTAGATTTCAAAACATTATTAAGTAGATGATTTTAGCATTTTTTTATAATATATTATCTTTTTTAGTGAAGCTTTGCAAAGGAATAGATTTAATACAGGACACATAATTTATAGGATTATTTTATAATATTCACACAAAAAAAGTCAAATGCAAAGGCATGCAAGAGAACTGTCCACATGCTAAAGAATCCAGCTGAGGGCCTGGATCATGGGCCAATGTCCTGCATGAGTCCAGCTGTAGACCTGGAGTCTATGGCAATGTCTCATTCAAGTCTGAATCAAGGATCTGAACTGCGAAGACAGAAAGGTCAGTGGTGGAAGCTTGAAAGTCGGTGTGGGCAGGGTGAAAGATCTGTACCAGATAGCCGAGTGGTCTGCACTGGAGCTAGGAAGCGGCGTCCAAAATGAAGAAGTGGACTGACATTCTCCGGAAGGAAGACAGCAGCCAAAGCTCCTTTGAATAAAAACCACCAAAAAGCAGCTTCGTTAGGAAAATCAGCAGCATGCAATCTTCCCTCCCATTCTCTTCTTATGTCATTTTGGCGACAATCTTCAGGTGGGTCTTCCACGCCCAGAACCACACTGACTCAGTCCAGCTGTGTGTTCCAAGTTGACATTAGTTAATTCACTGTACTCCTCTTTTTCACTTGTATTTCTCCCCTCCTACTTCTCTTCCTTCTTTCCTTCTTTTCCTTCTCTTCTCCTTCTTCTGTTTTTCTTCTCCATCTTAAGGTCATGTTGCTGGAGATAACTGCATGAAGATAACATAAAAAAAGATTCATTTGTTATATTTTTATGTTATTGTGGATTCTTATTATTTGATTGCTAACAAATTATGCTTAAATTTCTGCGAAACAATTACACAAAAGGTAGGCATTCTATAATAATTTAAATATTTAATGGCTCTTTTATAAGTGATTCAATAATTGTTAACTGACACTACAGCTATCTATACATTGAAACTGAATGTACAATTAGGCATCTTTCTCAATGAATTATGGGGCAAGGAGCATTCATATGTGAACATCTGGAGACAGAATGACAGATTAACCTGC